AAAGGTGAGTTGGAGAATGTTCATATGAATAATTCCCATTTCTTTTTGGGTCATTTTCTGAATCAAGAATCGTATCAGTGTTTGTGTCGCACTTTTCTTTGAATCATAATTGTGTTTGTGGGCCTTGTAGCTTCTCTCTACGTCTTGTTTTGTTTCAAGCGACTTGGACCACACAAAAGGGTGAGAATCAAGAATTTTGTTTCTCTTTTGTAATCTGGTTAATTTTTTTATTAGGAAAAGGAGTAGAGCAGATGATAATTAAACTCAAACTACCAAATCAGTAAATCTACTACATTTTCCTCCCTATACAAAACCTTCCAGGTTTAGTCCTTTTCCTCCAAATTATTAATGACATGAAACTTGGGAATTTTTCTGTACCCTCTAGTTTTTATTAATAAGTGAGCTTAGCTACTGAATTTAGCAAACGCCTTGGTTGTGTGACCAAAAAAAAAAAAAGCAAACGCCTTAGTTGAATGTCAAAAATTATCCTGAAATTAACAACTAAAGTTATAGATTTTTTTTTTTTAAAAACTAACTAATCACTTTTGGGTCTACTTAACTGCCTAACGAGATCTAGTTAACCTAACTCTCTTTCAGGGTTGTGATTCTTAAAATATAACCTAAGGTCCAAAATTCTAAGTAGGTTTGATCTACCATTCCATGCTAACATCTCCGTGTTTGTATTAATTAGACTTCTAAATAATGTTTATTATAAATTTTATTGAACTGTTTTTCATTTAAATTTATCGTGGAAAAACATCAGTGATCTTGGACTGTCAGCGTATATTAGTTTGGCGATTAGATCAGTAGAGAGCGATACAAGCTACATTTCTTGTCAATTCTTCATATATCTACGACAACATGGTCACAGTAGCCTGTTAGAAACCAAAATATGAATTTTTATAAAAGATATTTGACACTAAAAAACATCAATGTGATTCATAAAAAAATCAGATTTTACAGAAAAAGCTGGAATATTCTCAAACGGTTTTATATTGCGTGAATGAAATTTTGTAGAATTTTTCTGGCCTCATAATACGTCAAATTTGTTTATCCACGGTTCCGAGTTTATATGAAATTATGTGTTATCCTATATGGATTGCTTCACTTTTTAATAGGGTTTGTAGTTGTACTCTCTCTTTGATGGGCCCTTTCCTTCAGTTAAACTACTTAACCCTTTTCTTTCTTTGATGGAGTTTGATTGTTTTGTATGTTGCATGTTAATAACTATTAATCCCGTTGTGTGTTAGTCTTCGACCATTCTCATTCAGTTTATGTTTTCTTAGGGTTGTTTCAGAAAAATCTATTATTTCCTTTTAACAAAGCATTCAGTTTGTGTTTTCTTTGGGTACACACAACTACTTTACGTAGGAAGGACCTGGATTTTGAGTGGCAACGCGAAGTATTCTTAGGTTCTCACTCCCAGTTACTTTCCTCACGTCTCTCTCATAACTGTCTGAACTATTTTGTTTGTAAATAATTCTGATGGTATTAATAGTATTTTATGATTTCCTTGGTTTGGAAAATATTGTGTCTCGTATTTTTCTCCTCTTTTTGGTTGTTAAGTCAAAGTTCTGTTTTGGGTCAAATAGTCTCTTGGGTATAGGTTGAAACTGCTTATGCATATGGACA